ATTACGTATAGCGCGTATACAGGCGATGGCACACAGCAGTTTCCCGCCAACAGATGGCGACACATAGCTCATTCCCATTTCTGTCACAGAGAGCGGGGACAGCTTGGCGCGATTTTCAAATTGACGTTCACTTCCGTATTCTAGACGTTCATTTCCATTCTCTAAACAACGACACAAAACTTTGTATCAGTTGTCTCTAAGAAGTCTTGTTGAAAGGTCGCAATTAAGACTACGAGTTGTAATTTAAATAAATTGATTTTATTTGATTAATTCTACAAACGTCTTACGACCTACATTTGTGATGTGATCAAATGGATGAATAAATTATCTCTTAAACAGAAACCTCCTCGCATTCCAGTAGTTCAAATAGCTAGTCTGGCATGAGATCCGTTGATCTCGAGATGCGTAAACTGGATACATAGCCGCAATTGTAAGTGGGTACTCTCCAAGCAGACAAATTGTTGCTGACAATTGTTCATCTGGAGTTAGGCATTCACGGTTAAACTATTTATCGATGTCGCCTTCAATACACATATGCTGATAGTAAGCGTCTAAAGTCTCGTTCGGATTACGGTCTCGAATACGCATTTCCGACTGGTGATTTGATGACAACATACTTTTTGAGCCCTTTTTTTGAGAATGAAGGTTAAACTTTGTGGTGAAGTATTCTGGAAGACACATGGCCATAAGGTTGACTTTATCTCGAATGTCATCCATGTCTTTATTGAGTTCTTCAAGTCCGTAGACTTCGGGGATGATCTCGTCTGGGTTCATCAGTGTGTATTCATTCCAAATAGCCCCAGGGATGGGGATACATACCATACATGTGTAGGATTTTTATTTAACTTTCCATTGTATGTTGTAGTTCGTAATCGAGGAAACTGATAAATTTTGTTCGGTCGAACAAGTATATATTTAAGTCGAACAAGTATATATTAACTATGTAATTATGCAAATTACTTACAGAAAAACAATGAAATAAAAGCACGTGTTTATATTATGGTTTATATACACTGCATGCGCAAGCATTTCCCATAAAGTCAGCCATGTTGAATTTATCGTTCCATTCAAGTTCCGTTTTCCTAAATACGTCGAGAACGAATTACGAATGAATGAAAGTACTGTTTTGTAATTCAACCGACGTTACTTAAATCATTCCACAAAAGATGATTCGTACATACGAGTTTGAAAACATTGTTAGACCGTGAAAGAATAAGTGGTTTGAAAAATGAAAGTAGCTACCATTAGGTAACGAAACGGTAATGGGAGCGTGGCTGTGAAATTTAAAGGTCGTCAGTATAAGTGTGATTTTTTGTTATCGCCGACTCGAAAATGGAGGATTTTAACGACGGTGTCGACGGTAAATTGGCTTTCCGAATGCGGAAAGTCAATCCCGAACAATTCCATACACTCGTAAAAATGCATCTGTCCTTCGAATTGGACCTCAATACCGAGGAGTAAGTTAGCGATCGTGTTAACTACAGATTTCGATTCAATTTCAATAAATTGTTTCAATTGTATAAATTGTTGTGTCGTTTAGCAACGACTGTGTCAATGAGAAGGCTAAACTGAAAAAGTGGGGCCTTCTGAGTTTTACGAAGAAACCTAAGTCGACTATCAATTTGCAAAAAAGCGAAGGTGCTTGTTTAACTGAGGACGGGATAAATCAAGTTAAACAACTAATAGAATATTTATCTAAAGAACAAAGTAAGGAAAAATTTAGTTATCATTGTTACACCATTTAAATTACATTTAATAGCACTGTATTTGTTTATTTTGAAGATATCGTTCAAGAAGGTATATTTAGACGCACTGGTAAGTTAACGAGGCAACAAGATTTAAAGACTGTAATGCACCAAGGCATTCCACTGAATCTCAACGATGGTCGATACAGTGTACACGATTGTGCGTCGGTATTAAAAGGTTTCCTGGCTGAACTACCTGAACCTTTGTTATCTGACTTGCATTATCCTGCTCATTGCCAAATAGCTGGTAAAATTACCAAGAAACAAATTGTATACGTTTACCTACTTTTTACTTTCCTCAGTTTTAAGACTTATCAATTTTAGAATTGTGCAGCTCCGACTTAGATGGGAATGATGCGAGATTGCTAAGATCTTTGCAATTACTGTTGCTTCTTCTACCATCCATAAACAGAGTCCTGCTTAAATGCGTGTTGAGTTTACTAAATAAGACAGCCAGCTTTGAATCTAATAACAAAATGAATTGCGATACGCTCGCTACTCTTTTTACACCGCATTTAATGTGCCCAAGAAAATTGTCACCTGAAGCGTTACATATTAATTCCCAAAATCTGTCGTGTCTGGTTGCTTTCATGATTAAAAAGGGGAATGAACTGTTCGAAATTCCACCGAAGCTAGCCACAGATATCAGAGCTTATTGGGTAGAACAAGAGAGGAAGTTACTCAGTCCTACGAGCGCAAACGTAAGTTTTTACTGAATCAGATGAACGTGTAACATTTTCATGTTGTATTTATCCTCGTGTCTGTGGTTACAGTTAAATGAATCTCTGCCGGATACAACGGGAACGGCGCATACTGTGTTCAGTTTCGTAGATCATAAATTAACAGCGAAGGCAAATTCTACTCAGGATACCCAGGCGGCTTTAGCACAGCTTTACGCTCACATACAAGCTATGCCGGAATCGGCCAAGAAACGCAGGCTCGTGAAACAATTTAACAAAGAGAATGGGCAAGGCACGCCTAGGCAAGCTAAGAACTTTCGGACTAAAAGCCTCGGCGATTCGATCAAGAAGCATATATTCCAAAAGAAGATTTTAGGATACAAGAAATTCGATATTAATATAGGATGTAACGTCACCAGGTCGAGTAGCGAGGAAAACATAGTCTCAATGGTAAGAAATTTACAGTGTTCTAAAAAGTTTAGACCGAACTTTTGGGGCATTTATTATTTATTGGGGAAAGCTTTTATACCGGATGAGGCACCTAATTTTGCCGTTTATGAGATTTGAATTATACGGCCATGAAAAAGTAAGGCATTTAAAAAAAATTCAAAACTGTATTTCCAATCTCGTAAACGTCTCCGCTTACAAAGAAATCGTGTAAATCAAGTGATATCTCTCTTGATATCATGCAATGTTTGTAGAAACAATTTTTTATACAACGCATAATTTAGAAGTTATTCAAGGTGGCCAAATTATATGCCTCACTCTGTATAATACGAAACGATCTACCTGAAATTTAATCTCAATCTCTCATAAAATTCTGTATACTCTCTGTGTTATGATCGATTAACATAAAATAACAGCATGACTGCATAATTGTCATTTGTCCGCATGTATCGTACAGAATCTCGAGAAATCGCTGCTCAAGAGGAAAGTGTTACTTAGTAAATCGGACGACGAGCTTAGCATAGAAAACAGCGACACAACTACGGATAGTCTTATTCACGCTAAGCATATTAGCAATAGTACCGGAAGCCTGAATACTCCTATGTTACGGAAGTATAAGGACAAGAAGGCCGTATTTATGAGATTCGTAAATATAAAGGAAGAACAAGTAGACGATCAGTATCACGATTGGAACACGTGTAACTCGGAGAAAGGCTCATACATAGACGAGTCGGTAAATTCGAAAGCAAGCGACGAAGACGCGTCTTTACAGCAACGAATTAACAGCACTGGATCAAATAAGGATACAGCGAGTGATACACTTAGATTATCTAGGCAATCAAGCGAGCCACCGAATATGTATTCCCAGCAAGATTCATTGCACGAAACTGATCAGAATTCGCTGCACAGGCAATGCTCGGAACCCACATTTTCAACGTTAGATAAAACTAGTAACGAAGACGCGGAATGCCCGTCGAAATTACCTGAGAACAAGAGGATGTTAGGGCATTCAAAGGTCGAGTCACAAATTGATAACGCATGCGTTCACATGTCTCCTGTTGTAAAAAATAGGCTTTGGAATGTATATGTTGCGCACACATCAACGCCGTCGAATCTCTTACGCAAAAGTTTAGTTACTAATGATTACATGTTAACTCCTATTACTAACAATGATAAGAGCATGAGTCCGATCACGCAAAGCGCGACCAAAATGACGAAAGCTATGCAGGTATATATGCTTATTATTATTTTGTAATCATTTCTTCTTTCGTTTTCTATTTACTATTATTTAT